AATAAATAATATATATATAATATATGTTATTATATATATATTATATATATATATATATATATAATATATATATATATGTTATTATACATATATATATATATATATATATATACATATACATATAACACATATATATACATTATAACATATAACATATACAATAATATATACAATTAATATTATATATAAATGCTCATTATAACAGTGCTTATAATGCAGCACACTAGCAGTAGCAGTGAGGGAGTTTATAATGGCACCAAGCTACAGGCAGCCATTCTACAGAGATGGACACAGAGACAGAATACTGCTATAACTTTTCTCTTCAAAATAGCACAATCAGCTTTAACTAAAAACGACAGCATTGTAAACTTACACTATTGGCAAACAAACGCAGGTCCAGGCATACAACAAATAGGATCGGCAATGACCAGTTTTCATCTTTTTGTGATTGCAGAACCTTACAAAATGATCTAGCATAGGAGTCAAGGATAAAAATATATTTCTGCTACATTATGTAACTACCTTTCACAATTATTCTGAGGTATTAGCCCTATAGCCTTCACCACTATTTACAACTTATTATTTAATAGACACTTATTAAACACATGTATACATTTAAAGAAAGAAAAGGATACTGACAACTATAGTTTGACAACCATATGCTTCAATAAAGTCATGGTTTGACACAGCCCATATGCACCTGTAACATGAAAAAAAAAGAAATATGAGGAATAGTTTTCATTTTATACTATTCCATATTTCCTGTGTATATATACAGTGGCACTAAGGATATCATTATAAATCAGGTTTATCAGATTCATGTTTTCGAAACTAGATCAACTATACAGTCTGCGAAATTAACCACTGGCCCGGTATCCGAGCCAGAAAATTTTCCGTGGGGCCAATTAAACTGGTAAATGAACAAGCCCGATGGGCCAGTGGGAAAAAATGGAGTAAATGGTCTATTAATGATATTTCAGCTTCTTTATGTGATGATCAGTCTGAGAATTTACCGAAATTCCCGATATTTTGTATGAAAATTTACCGATATTTACCGATAGGGATATTCCGATCATATTCCCAATCTTAAGTAGGGGAAGTAACTAGTCAACACCATGCGTGTTTGTCGCCGCTAGAGATTGGAACAACTTCCCGTTTCCGGTTCTGGTTTTCAACGTGGCCTTGAATGTACGTGTTGACTAAGTTACGCTCATAGGGTCTATGTCCCCCAGGGTACTGCGAACGTACCCTGGGTACGGTCCGGTATACCGGAACGTACCCTGGTCACTATTTGATATGGTTAGGGTTAGGATTAGGGTTAGGGTTAGGGTTAGGATTAGGGTTCAGGTTCGGGTTAGGGAGTAGGCGTAGGCGACTCCCTAGACTCGTTAGTGGAGTAAGCGAGGTACGGTCCGGCATATTAGATAGTACCAGGTACGTTCCGGTATACCCCACCGTACCCAGGGTACGTTCCGGCAGTACCCGAGGGACATAGACCCTCTCAGCCTAAGTTACTGTTCGAAGTCGAAATGAGCTTTCTGATTATGAATGAGCGTGATGATGATGATACGATGGCAGTGACAATGAGATGGGGAGAGGGAAGTGGGTATTTTTTTTCAATTCATAAAAGAATAAATCTCTAAGAATACACCAAAGAGTTCTGTTTCTCTTTCTATAATATGATGATCATTGATTCGGGCCTGTAAAACCTAGTGTGGGCCAGTGAATTATACATTTCACAGGCCCGCTGGGCCAATAAGGGTGGAAGTTTTTCGTGCAGACTGACTAGTATAGTAGTCTAGTGGTGTACTTTTGACATATTATAAATATGTATTCCATCATATTTTCCCACCTTAATGTGGGCTGCTACCATTTCATCATATGGTGAATCAAAGTATCTTTCCACTTGGGCCTCTGGATGAGCTACCTGAAGTCTGTGATTGCTAATTGTGGGTGCTTGAAGCTGAGCATCTCCTGTAAAAATTAACAAAGTAAAAATACTCATGAATCACATTTGTTTACAGAAGTATATTTTGCTTCAAATATTTTACCATACTTATGACTTCATAATAACCATTAATGATCAAGAGAATATTGTTCTTCACCAGTTACCATTCACAAATATATACACATTTATATGTATCTTTAATCGTTTTTTGTGTAAACCATACTTACAGCTGCTAGTAGGCCATCTTGTTTGTCAATGAGCATTTGAAGCTGAAAGTTCAACAAAATAGCAGATGAATTCATGCCTATCTGTTCTTGTCCAGAGATGACAAAGCTTTCACCCAGCTCTATGACAACGACTATTGCGAGTCAGACTCTCTGCACTACGCTGCGTACTCCCATACATAATCCCTTTGGATTATGCATGGGGAGTACGCAGCGTACTGCAGAGAGTCTCAGTCAGCATTCGCGCCGACGTTACAGGGTTCTCCAAGCTTTGAAATTATAGCATGGGGTGCTACTCACTGCTGGGGGGTCCGGGGCATGCCCCCAGCAAATGTTTGAATTGTAGATGCTCTGAGATGCAATCTGGGACACTCTGTGTGTAAATATGAAGCACTGCATGTGGAGTGAAAATGTTTGTTTTGGCATGGGCAAAGCCATCGGAAAATTCAAAATAATTATTTCTTGGTGAGCTAGCTAGAAAACACTCGGATTTGAAGTATGAAATGAACATTATTGTGCGCAGCTAGGCCTACACCAGTTGGTTGGGATTGATTGTCAGAACTTCAGATGCAAAATATTGAAAGCAAATGGTTCTACACCATAGATTAATTTTAGTACTATAACACGCGTATATAAGATAGCCAGGTCAGTTTAGAGTTAGTGTTAGGGTTAGGGATAGGGAGACTGTTTGTACTTGTGTGTGGGACTGCCGTACCGTAGCATCGAGACCGAACGTGTATTAAATAATCATTGTTTGAACTTCTGTGTATACACCCAGCATGGCGCTATGATATTTAGCGTGGCGGGTGCATTTTAGGATGGCGCGGCTCGACGGCCGCCAGGCTATAATGCCCTGGGAGACACCCTGCGTTAGGCTTTTCTTTTGCAGTGAGGAAGTTGTTTACCGGCAGATAGGAGAGTTATTTATCGGACAATTGACATTGCCACCCTTACTGGGGAAAACAAGAATCTAACACGCAGAGATGGATGCCACCAATCAAACAGGCCCATCTTCAGATTCCTGTCTGAGTCCTTCCCAGCAATCTAGCCACAGACACTCGTTGTAACTAGAAAATTTTTATTGAGTTGCACGTAAATATATCATCGTAAAATTAGGCGAAGCAAATGTTGAATTTCTCGTGTTTTGGAGTGTCATACTCCTCCTATATATCTTACTCCTGCTACTAGTACTTCTACTACTAGAGCTAGAACTATAAGCGGCAGCAAGAGTAGATAATAACACAAGAGTGCGGCCACGAAGTTCGGCATTTTTAACGCGATTTTTCTCATCAAATTTGCCGACGCAATAAAGAAGGAAGTGTATACCTTCCTCAGCTTATTATGACCACTAATCACTCACCTTCATGGCACTGATATTTGTTAACATATATTTGCTAGCGTATTGCTGTAAATCGTAATCTTGCACGAGCTGAATTCGATAAATTTACCGAAAAAATGGCGACTTGTTGGAGGTGTTTAGACAATATTAGAAGCTATCGCTGCGCCAATATTTAGCAACGGACAGTTTCCAAATCATGCGTGCCCCGATAGGGGTTTAATGTACTTGATTACCTGCGCGCGGCGGTAATGTGATACTTACTGCAAACTACTACAGAGAATATTGTTATTATTGTATTATTAACTTATGTAAGATAGTATGTCAATTTTTCTTGTGTTGCGATCACAATAACTGAGGCGGTCTCGCAGGTTCTTCACGAGATCAAAATTCGAAATTTAGATTGTCTCTCAACCCTATCGGGGCACGCATGATATTGGAAACTGTCGTTGCTAAAATATTGGCGGCAGCGATAGCTTCTAATATTGTCTAAACACCTCCAACAAGTCGCACATTTTTTCGTAAATTTATCGAATTCAGTCGTGCAAGATTACGATTTACAGCAATACGCTAGCAAATATATGTTAACAAATATCAAGTGGCCATGAAGTGAGTGATTAGTGTCCATAATAAGCCTGAGGCACGTATACACTTCCTTCTATTGTGTGGCAAATTTTTGATGAGAAAAATCGGTTACAATGCGGGAATCGGGTGCACGCACTCTGTGTTATTTATCTACTCTTGGCGCAGTAAGGCTCATAGGGTCTATGTCCCCCAGGGTAGGTGTTAGGATTAGGGTTAGGTTAGGGTTATGGGAGTATAGGCATAGGCGACTCCTAGACTCGTTAGTGCGAGTAGGCGAGGTACGGTCCGGCATATTCAGATAGTACCAGGGTACGTTTCCGGTATACCAACGTACCCAGGGTACGCTCCGGCAGTACCCCGGGGGACATAAACCCTCTCAGTGGCAGTAAGCCTAAGGCCGACTAAGGCGGCCCCTGTTGCTTGTTACTTTGTTAGACTGGCACATTTAAGGATACTCTCCACGTTGTGCATGAAATTTCATCGATTGTTTCGTTTTCAACTTTTATTCGATGCTAACACTATGTCACCTGTGTACATGTTCATTCTCCATATTACTCCTCTATAAATAAAACAAGTGATTGATTCGATTCATTCGCCAATAAACGTTTAATCTTCACTAGAGCAATACCCGTGCACAACGTGGAAAGTACCGGTATACTTAAAGTGATTACGTCACGAATTTCTAGTACCCTTCAAGTAGTATATTTGTGTGTTAATGTACAAAATAAAATGTATGAAAATACAATTAGTGTTTCTATTTACTTTTCATGCTTATATACCTTCTTTATATGCCCTAATTTGCCGGTGAAAAACCGAGAGACGCCAGTATCTGAACAGACATGATTGTCCTGATGTAAATGTTTTATTGGGACCCATGTTCTCTATCCTTGAACCGAGGAGTTCGCAAGATCATGTTGACAGATCTGTTACCAATGAACCGTCTGTAACTTAATAAATAACTAAAAACAAATAAATAATACCGCCATCAGATAATCCGTTATTGCACTGTGCGCCATTTTCGCTCTGAGTTTGACTGGTACCTTAGTTTTTCACAGGTGGAGTGGTGCACATCTACACCAACGCGCAGAACGCTACAGTGACAGTCTAAGAGCGGTCGACTATCAACTTTAGATTGGTCCACGCTCGACAGTTCCACTTGCGTTACACTAACACTGTAGAGCGCGGACTCGTCTATATTAACTTTAGTTATTTTAGTTGAAGCATAGAGCGAGGCGAGATAGAGAAGAGGCGAGGAGTTGATCAACGTAGCAACGTAAAGAAGGAGAGCGTACAAGGGTAAAATGCTGAAACCATGCTGCAGTATTAGTCGAATTAATAAACTTCTTTATACGCTCTTGGTTATATCAAAAGTAGATATAATAGGGAATTTCCCATTATCTACTTCTGGTTATATCATCCTTTCTATTAGCTCCAAGAAACGGTATTGCTAGGGTTAGAATACCCAATGTATAGACAATCCGTCGCACAGCCTGGTCGGGCTACCTTTCTATCAGATGATCCCGTAGATGATCAACGCATTTGCCTTACCGACTGCAGGTCAGCAAGCGTTTTACCATTTCACCCACAGCAGAGCATATAAATCGGATATAAATCAAGTTGATTTATATTATGCTCTGCCCGCAGTGTGCGCGCGCCGCGCGGGGCGATGTCACTGATCTCTATAATATAATATATTATTATATTATAGAGATCAGTGGGCGATGTGGATATATTAATTTTGTGAATTTTTCGCGCCAGGTGTAGCACGTGTGCCGCTGATGGGACTCTAGCTGATAGTCGCGCTCACAAATATTGAAATATTATCATTATGCACTTGGAACGTCTCAATAAAAAGATTTATGGTAAATAAACACGAAATGATTTACCACCAAAGTCACAATATTTCTCTATTCTCTTTCGCCTATATTGTTGCCGATAATTTCCTGTAAATGCCGTTCAAGGGTTCAAATTAATGCTCTTCTGCCACAAACAAGTACCGCACGCACGTATACGCAGCTGTGCACAAACAACAAGAACATAGATAGAGAAGAACATAGAACTAGTTATACTTGTTGTTTGTGCACGGCGTGACATGCGCGTGCGGTGTACTTGTCTATGGCAGAGAAGCATTTGAACGGCATTTACAGAAAATTAATTAATTGCTATTATCTGAGTGGCTGCATGGCAAAATGTTAATTAACTGGCCGACCAACATTTTCTAATCTTTCAACTACGTTTACACTGCCGATTTTTGGTTAAATAGTTAAAAAGTACTTTATATGCACATTATCTCAGCAGGAGTACATAATATAGTCTATATTATTCTAGGCAATAAGGAGCTACTTATAACATATAACATATACAATAATATATACAATTAATATTATATATAATGCTCATTATACAGTGCTTATAATGCAGCACTAGCAGTAGCAGTGAGGGAGTTTATAATGGCACCAAGCTACAGGCAGCCATTCTACAGAGATGGACACAGAGACAGAAATACTGCTATAACTTTTCTCTTCAAAATAGCACAATCAGCTTTAAACTAAAAACGACAGCATTGTAAACTTACACTATTGGCAAACAAACGCAGGTCCAGGCATACAACAAATAGGATCGGCAATGACCAGTTTTCATCTTTTTGTGATTGCAGAACCTTACAAAATGATCTAGCATAGGAGTCAAGGATAAAAATATATTTCTGCTACATTATGTAACTACCTTTCACAATTATTCTGAGGTATTAGCCCTATAGCCTTCACCACTATTTACAACTTATTATTTAATAGACACTTATTAAACACATGTATATATTTAAAGAAAGAAAGGATACTGGACAACTATAGTTTGACAACCATATGCTTCAATAAAGTCATGGTTTGACACAGCCCATATGCACCTGTAACATGAAAAAAGAAAGAAATATGAGGAATAGTTTTCATTTTTATACTATTCCATATTTCCTGTGTATATATACAGTGGCACTAAGGATATCATTATAAATCAGGTTTATCAGATTCATGTTTTCGAAACTAGATCAACTATACAGTCTGCGAAATTAACCACTGGCCCGGTATCCGAGGCCAGAAAATTTTCCGTGGGGCCAATTAAACTGGTAAATGAACAAGCCCGATGGGCCAGTGGAAAAAAATGGAGTAAATGGTCTATTAATGATATTTCAGCTTCTTTATGTGATGATCAGTCTGAGAATTTACCGAAATTCCCGATATTTTGTATGAAAATTTACCGATATTTACCGATAGGGATATTCCGATCATATTCCCAATCTTAAGTAGGGGAAGTAACTAGTCAACACCATGCGTGTTTGTCGCCGCTAGAGATTGGAACAACTTCCCGTTTCCGGTTCTGGTTTTCAACGTGGCCTTGAATGTGTTGGCTAAGTTACGCTCATAGGGTCTATGTCCCCCAGGGTACTGCCGGAACGTACCCTGGGTACGGTCCGGTATACCGGAACGTACCCTGGTCACTATTTGATATGGTTAGGGTTAGGATTAGGGTTAGGGTTAGGGTTAGGATTAGGGTTCAGGTTCGGGTTAGCGGAGAAGGCGTAGAGGCGACTCCCTAGACTCGTTAGTGGATAAGCGAGGTACGGTCCGGCATATTAGATAGTACAGGGTACGTTCCGGTATACCCACCGTACCCAGGGTACGTTTCGGCAGTACCCAGGAGGGCATAGACCCTCTCAGCTACCAGTTACTGTTCGAAGTCGAAATGAGCTTCTGATTATGAATGAGCGTGATGATGATAGAGTACGGATGGCAGTGACAATGAGATGGGGAGAGGGAAGTGGGTAATTTTTTTCAATTTCATAAAAAATAAATCTCTAAGAATACACCAAAGAGTTCTGTTTCTCTTTTCATAATATGATGATCATTGATTCGGGCCTGTAAAACCTAGTGTGGCCAGTGAATTATACGCATTTCACGAGGCCCGCTGGCGCCAAAAGGGTGGAAGTTTTTCGTGCAGACTGACTAGGTATAGTAGTCTAGTGGTGTACTTTTGACATATTAATAATATGTATTCCATCATAGTTTTCGCACCGTTTATTGGGCTGCTACCATTTCATCATATGGTGAATAAAGTATCTTTCCACTTGGGCCTCTGGATGAGCTACCTGAAGTCTGTGATTGCTAATATGTGGGTGCTTGAAGCTGAGCATCTCCTGTAAAAATTACAAAGTTAAAAATACTCATGAATCACATTTGTTTACAGAAGTATATTTTGCTTCAAATATTTACCATACTTATGACTTCATAATAACCATTAATGATCAAGAGAATATTGTTCTTCACATCAGTTACCATTCACAAATGATATACACATTTATATGTATCTTTAATCGTTTTTTGTGTAAACCATCTTACGGCTGCTAGTAGGCCATCTTTGTTGTCAATGAGCATTTAAAGCTGAAAGTTCAACAAAGCAGATGAATTCATGCCTATCTGTTCTTGTCCAGAGATGACAAAGCTTTCACCCAGCTCTATGCCAACGACTATTGCGAAGTCAGACTCTCTGCACTACGCTGGCGTATCCCCATACATAATCCTTTGGATTTCATGGGTATACTGCAGTCTCAGGTAGCATTCGCGCCGACGTTACAGGGTTCTCCCCTTTGAAATTATAGCAATGGGGGTGCTACTCACTGCTGGGGGGTCGGGGGCATGCCCCCAGCAAATGTTTGAATTGTAGATGGCTCTGAGATGCAATCTGGGACACTCTGTGTGTAAATATAAAGCACTGCATGTGAGTGAAAATGTTGTTTTGTCATGGGCAAAGCCATCGGAAAATTCCAATAATTTATTTCTTGGTGAGCTAGCTAGAAAACACTCGGATTTGAAGTAGAAATGGAACATTATTGTGCAGCTAGGCCTACAACCAGTTGGTGGGATGATTTCAGAACTTGCAGATGCAGAAATATTGAAAGCAAATGGTTCTACCACCATAGATTCATTTTAACTATAACAGTCGTATAAGGTAAGATAGCCAGGGTCAGTTTAGAGTAGTGTTAGGGGTTAAGGGATAGGGAACTGTTTGTACTTGTGTGTGGGACTGCCGGTACCCAGTAGCATCGAGACCGAACGTGTCTTAAATAATCATTGTTTTTGAACCTTCTTGTGTATAACACGCAAGCATGGCGGAGCTATGATATTAGCGGGCGCCGGTCGCGAATTTTAGGATGGCGGGCGCCTCGACGGCCGCAGTATAATGGCCGGAGACCCCTCTGCGTTAGGCTTATTCTCTTTTGCAGTGAGGAGTTTGTTACACGGCAGATAGGAGAAGTATTTATCGGACAATTGACATTGCCACCCTTACTGGGAAAACAAATCTACACACGCAGAGATGGATGCCAGCGCCATCAAACAGGCCCATCTTTCTAGATTCCTGTCTGAGTCGCTTCGTCGCAGCAATCTAGCCAAGACCCACTCGTTGCTAAGCCATGAGAAATCTTTTTCATTGAGCTTGCACGCTAACTCATATCATCGAAAATTAGGCAAGCAACATGTTGAACTTTCTCCGTGATTTTGGCGTGTCACTACTGGCCTCCTATCATATCTTTACTCGCCTCTACTAGTACTTCTACTACTACGAGCTAGCAACTATACCAGCGCACAAAGAAGTGATACTAACACAAAATGCGGCCAACGACAAGTGCTCGGCCTTTTTAACCCATTTCTCATCATCAAATTTGCGCCACAATAAGAGAGGAATTATACCGTTCCTCCAGCTTATTATGACCACTCAATCCATCACTCACTTCATCGGCATGCTATTTGGTTAACAATATATTTGCTAGCGATTGGCGTAAATCGTAATCTGCCCGAGCTGAATTCGATAAATTTACACGAAAAAATGGCGACTTGTTGGCAGGTGTTAGACAATATTAGGAAGCTATCGCTGCGGCCAGAATATTTAGCAACGGAAGTTTCCCAAATGCATGCGTCCGCCGATAGGGTTTAATGTACTTGATTACCTGGCGCGCGGCGGTAATGTGATAGCTTTACTGCAAACTACTACAGAGCATATGTATTATTTAATAATATTATGTAAGATAGTATGTCAATTCTTGTGTTGCGATCACAATAACTGAGCGCCGTCTCGCGTTCTTCACGAGATCAAAATTTCGAAATTAGATTGTCTCTCCACCCTATCGGGGCACGCACATGATTGGAAACTGTCGGTTGCTAAATATTGGCGCAGCGATAGCTCTATGATAATTGTCTAAACGACCTCCAACAAGTCGGCATTTTCGTAAATTTATCGAATTCAGTCTCGTGCAAATTACGATTTACAGCAATACTGCCTAGCAAAAATATAATATTAACAAATTCAAGTGGCGGCCATGAAGTGAAGGATTAATGTCCAATATAACTCGCCGAGGCACGTATCCCTTCCTTCCTTTCCATTGGTGAAAACTATTTGATGAGACAAACGTTCCAAATGCGGGAATCCCGGGTGCCACGCATCCTATGTGTTCATCATCTACTCTTGCCGCGGCAGTAAGGCCTCAATAGCGTCTATGTCGCCGCAGGGTAGGGTTAGATTTAGGTTAAAGGTTCTGGCGTTATGGAGTATAAGGCACAGGCACTGCCCTAACTCGTCCCTACGCTCCCGGAAGTAGGCCGAGGTTACGATCCGTCAGCCAACAAATAACTTAAGAATAACCAGGCCGTACTTCGGTATAAGCCCACACGTCACCAGGATACGCTTCCGGCAGTACCGCCCGGGAATAACCTCATCAGCTGGCAGTAAGCCTATAGCCGCCCGACTAAGGCGGCCCCTGCTTGCTCTCTGTTCACTCTTGCTTAGGACTGGGCAACATTAAAGGATACCTCTCCAACGATGTGCCATGAAATTTTCAAATCGACTTTTTCCCGTCTTTCAACCTTTATTCGACTGGCTCAACCCCTCATGGCCCACGCTGTGTACCATCGTATCCATTTTCCCATACCTAACCCATAACACCTCGTGACCCGTCAGACTGCGTTTCCTTGCTTCACTGCGCCTTACGACGTGTAGCGCTAACGCCAGACGGCACTGACGTCCATTAATCGACCGCTCCCAGACCCATGATACCACGCAACCATTCTCCCGATATTTCCACCCTGACAGCCAGTATACCCATACCCACACTCAAGGAGTAGAGTAATAGGAATCCTATTACTCCTCCTGATCACATCAACTTGCTACAGCTGTAAACTACACTACTCTGATCCAATAAGTATCCCACAAGCGCTACAACTACGCTCTCCTCCCACACCTCCGCATAGACCGCACCTAGACTCAAACCGAAGCCGCCCCGCTCTTGTGTGCCAGAGTCCAGACCGTCACGGGGTTCCGCGGCCCTTCTGCCAATGATCTTTCGCGTATGCCGTCCCTCGCTACATTTCTCAGAATTTCATCAAGGTGCAATGGAACATTCCTACACATATTAGTGTGGTCTAGCTTAGTCATCCTCGTCGGTCTATGTCGCCCTGCCTCTGTTTGACCTCGTCGTCTCGCTCATTCCTGACTAACCCTAACCCTAACCCTAATCCCTCAACCCCTAACCTAACACCTAACCCTAATATATATTATATGCGGCCAATTCGATCATATCATATACTATCTTAGCTCAGAAATAGCTAAACGACGCGAGGTCAAACCGAGTTCAACGGGGCACATAAGACCTTATCCTGGATTAGTCACCATCGATACATGTCGCAAGTAAGTACTACAATAGATAATTATCCACATCACGTTCAGCCCCATTTGCCAGCCCAGGGCGCTCAAACTCATATGTGAAAAATGACGCAAACACCGGCTTATTTGCTACACGTTCAATTCTGAACATAAGAGGGCCGATGTATAAATAATATTTCCACTGTGATTACAACTCGG